TTTTTCTTCATTTCAAAGGATTTTTATGGTAAAATGACACTTCCAGCATTTTGTTAACCCTGTTTTCCAGTGAAACCAGGTGCCTTTTACAGTATTCACTAATAGCTAAATTAAATGACAACAGCGCCCTCTTTCTGCTCTACACTGTACTGCATTCCAATACCTGCAATCCAATCAAAGAGTAGCTTTGCAAGTTTTTTTTGGCAGTGTTTCATAAATAATGCCCATTCTGATGCAACCCTGAGCATTTGAGTCTCTTAATTTGGAAATAATTCTACAACCATATTTGTTTCTTAGTTCAGAAGCCTTAAAATCTTTGTGATCTGTGGTTATTTGAAAAGAACCATGACTGTGGTCATCTTATTTTAGTCAATAACGTGTTTCTAAGTTGTTGCCCCCCCTTGGGCTGTATCTTTCTGCAGAGCTTCCCGGCCCTCAGCACTCCACCATCTGTTAAAGACTGGTCAGAGACCAGTGTTCCCACTGACACATGTGTTGGCATGATCAGAAAATTAGTGTCCAAACTAGAGGCGACGTTGACTGAAATGATTGACAAACTGTCTGACAGTGGTAGGACTTCCATAAACATTCAAAAATACCTTTGTTACTGTGTGACTATTCATTTTATTTTTAAAAAAAGTAAAGATGTATAAGAAACATTTCTTAAGAGAATGTTGTATTTTGTTTTTACAGAGATCAAAAAAGTTCTGAAATATACAGGTAAAGCTTTTTTTTACTTATTTTTCTTTCTTGTGTTTTTATCATTAAACTCTCCAACAAAATATATCCTCTGTCTCGTTCTTCTGCAGTGGATGTCACTCTTGACCCTGACACAGCTAACCCGTGGTTGCAGCTCTCTCAGGATAGACATCAGGTGAGACACCTGGGTGCCTGGCAGGACCTCCCGGACCACCCCGATCGCTTCGACACGGTGGTTATAGTATTGGCCCATGAGGGCTTCACTTCTGGCAGACACTACTGGGAGGTCCAGGTGGGGGAAAAGGATGACTGGTACCTTGGTGTGGCGAGGTCATCTGTTAACAGAAAGGGCAGGATCTCTGTAAGCACCACCCAAGGCTATTGGGCTCTGGCCATGAAGAAAGGCCAGGGATACAGAGCGTCAACATCCCCACCATCACTGCTCTCCCTCGACCCTAAGCCCAAGAGAGTGGGCGTGTATGTGGACTACGAAGAAGGCCAAGTGTCGTTTTATGATGTGAGAGCACGGACCCATATTTACACCTTTGAGGATACCTTCACTGAAAAAATTCTTCCATTTTTCTACCTGTACTGCTGTGACAAAGCCTCTGACACCATCGTCATCTGTCCTGTGAATGAGAAACATCTGATCAAGCAAAGCTAAGGACATAAAAACAAAAGTTGTTGTAGCTATACCCGATTTAATTACATGTGAACTGTAGCTAAATATGTTAATTATACATCCTGTGAATTTGTAGCCAACATGCTTGTAAAACACAAACCTCAAATGACGTTCTGGTAA